AACTGCAAGTCAGAAAAAGGGTCTGCAGTAGGAATCAAATCTGCAAGCACCTTGATCTTGGACTTCCCAGCCACCAAAACTGTGTAAATAAATGTCTGTGTCTTAGGCCACCCAGTCTATGGTGTTTTGTTAGAGCAGACCAAGCTTACTAAGAAGACAGCAGACACTTGAAAATACAAGAGAATGTTTCCCAGATATCAAACTTTGATTAAAAAAAAAACCCAACATTTCAGGATACAGTGTTGACTTCAGAAATAGGGAGAAAGTGTTCTAGAATAGACCACTATCTCTCTAAATATTGCTTTTCTCCCATTCTCTTTCTCCTCTCCTTCCAGTACTCCAATCATACAGATTTCTACCTTTCGACTGTGCCATATATATATATATATATATATATATATATATATATATCTTACTTTCTGCTTTATTTCTTCTGTTTTCTGTTTCTTTCTTGCATATTCTTGTTCACTTGACTTCCAGTTCACCAATCCAGGCTTATACGGTACTCAGTCTTCCATAAAACCCATCCAATGATTTCTTAATTTCAAATGTTGTATTTTTTCCATTCTAAAATGTTCATTTGTTATTTATGTGTTCCAATTTTTCACTTATTTGTTTCTACTATTCAACTAACTTTTGCTCTAATATCAAAATCACCAATGGATCATTTTTCCACTCCTGTTTTTATAAACCTGGTGTATTACATGCATTAGCATGCTTCGTAAGTTTGGATATTGTGGATAAAAAAAACTGTAGAGGCTCTGTGGATTTCTTTCAGAAAAGAGCTAGTGTTTCTTTGGCAGGCAGATAGGTCCTGCTGAGGTGTGAATTTAGACTTTGTTAGGGCTAGACTATTAATTTGTTTTACCTTATTTGACCTCATTGAGCAGACCTGAATCCTTGTGTATTTCCACTGCTCTAGTGCATTCCCTGTCTGAGGTCTTGGCTACAGTTTCCTAACGTTTCCTGGTGCCCTTTCTCTTCAGTAGGGCTTAAACTAACCTGTTTCCCAGGGCTGCATGCTGCTGAGACCTGTGCTCAGCTTTTTAGCTCTCCAGCTGCTGCTTGCATCTGGGTTCGTGGTGCACAATTTAGGTATCATCCAACAACTTGGGGAGAATATGTACACTGCTCTCTGGGCCCCTCGTGTGAATTTCTTTCACTCTAGAAATTTGCTTCTGGAGCACCTTACCCCTGCAAAACTGCCACTTTCCTTGGAGGCTCTATTTCCTTATGTTTGAATATGGAGAACTACCTTAGAGAAAAAGCCAGGTAGAATGTGAAACACACCTTCTATGCCTTCTTCTCTCGGGGGTTAGAGCACGTGATTGCTGCTTCTCCAGCGCCCAGCAGTTGTTTTGTACATTTTATATAATATATATTTTATTACCTTTTGTATATTGTATGTTTAGTTCTCATATTAGCTTCAGTCATAGCATTAAACCAGTACGAGCTACCATGCCAAGGCCAGAACTGGCTCGCCTTTACTTTCCGACTAACTGTAATGTAATTTCCATCCCACAACTCCACTGAAACCACTGTTGCTAGGGTCACCAGTGACTTCCATGGCGGCACTTCTCTGGATTCTTTCAGTCCCTATCCCACTTTATCTCTTAGCAGCCTCGACACAGTCGACCTGCTGTCTTTGGGTTTTATGCCGCACACTCTTGGTGCTCCTTCCGCCTCCATTATCCAGTTTTTTTCTCAGTCATCTTTGTTGACTTAATTCCCTTTTACTCAAACTCGAATGTTGGCTGGAAACTTTCAAAGTGTATTTCCAGTCCAGGCTCCACTTCTAACTTTACAACTTAGATCTAATGACCTCCTTGAAGTCTCCACTTGGGCGACTCAAGGACTCAAGGATTTTCAAATTTAGTAGGTCTAAAACGGAATTATTTTTGTGCTGTATGCTGACCTCCCCTTCTTCTAAAGTTCTCCTTGTCAACAAAGGATGCCGTTCTCCACCCCCACCCTCGGGCCTGTAACTCCTGCCAGGCACTTGGGAATGCCCTTGATCCTTCCCTGTCACTTCACCGCACCAGGTTTTCACAACTCATCTTTTGATCAGACTTTCAGCTTTATGAGAGTGTATCTCTTTGCCGGCAGACGATCTTACTTCACTTTGCCCTGGGCCAGATGTGCAGTTCGGGAACCCATCAGGGTCTTTTTTCTTAGGGCTTTTGAGGGCGTCGGGGCTGTGAACCGTGACATGCCATTGTATTGCAACATACAATATAAAAATTCATAGGCCGGATCTAAGTCATCCCATGAAGATTAATTTATCTTCTCTATGTTTTGTGTTAGATGTTTGGGACATTTATGATTAATTTTCAAACAAACCCAGAAACTTCAGAAATGTGGAAGCTGAGGTGGCTGTTGGGTAAATCCTGTGAGGCCGTCTTATGGAAAATAGTCACCATCTCATAGAACCGTATCTGCTAGTAGCTGAATGGCCTATCAATTTATGTCACACAGTCTAAAATTTTAGGCTCTTTTTTGAGTCATGGATAACTGGGAGTCTTAGACTGGTACATACCATCTAGTCTATTGTATGTCTTAAAATTAAAATATGTACAAAGAGAACAGTATGTTTTAGCTAATGAGTTTCCAGGAAATGTTGTAAGTAAAACGATGCTCTCATGCTTTCTAAACTCCCTTTAGGGCCCCTAGACACAGCATAGTACCTCTGACCCTGGGTGACCACGGGCAAGTCGCTTACCTTCTCTGTCTTCGTTTCCCTCTTTTATAAAAAGGTGATGATAACAGTGCCCACCTCTTTGGTGGCTGTGAGGATTAAATGACTTAGTATTAATGAAATGGCTAGAATGGGGCCTGCACAGGGTGAACATAATAACTGTTTGCTAAATACAGGATTCACAGCTTTTTCTTTTTGTTTCTGTTGTTTTGTGAAAAAACTAAAGAGTGAGGAATCTTGGAATCTTACCTTAGAGGTGCCACTGTTTATCTGTGTGGCCTTAGTGGCATTTAAATTTTAGTATCACTTATCTTTGGTTTTGCATCTGGAGCACAAGTAGCGTTTGCTGAATACTTCTCTTGTGCCAAGCACTCTATGGAACACTTGCCCTGCACCATCTCATTTAATCTCATGACTGCAGCTCTAGACAGATGGTAAAATAATAATCTTCATTTTATCTGAGGCACAAAAAAGAAAACGACCTGTCTGAAGTCACCGAGCTAGTGCGTGTGGCATCTGGGCTGCTCGTGTGTCTCCAGAGCACAGAGCTTCTGACCACCGCTCTGAGATCCTGAGTCTCACTCCTCACCCTTCCCCAGGGCTGCTTCCTTACTGACAGAGCTGCTGGGCATTGCAGGGCAACCCAGATTTCAGCCAGAACTCCGTCTCTGAAAACCGCTGGCAGTGGGAGGGAGTCCTTGAGGCTGTCTCCTTATTTGAGTTGGGACATCGCTGTGGCCACATCGCTGTGGCCTCCTGGTGCAGGCTGGGTCCAGTCACTTTAGCAGCTGGCTGGCTCTCTCTGGAGATGAATAGGGGGAGCCTGGGCCAGCCTTTACTTTTAGGCTTTTGGCTCTATGTCATTGTTTTCTTTCGAGGATGCATTTGCAGTGACAACAAAGAAAATCATGCAGACTGTAAGGCTTGCGTTGCCTCTTTAGCATTTTCTCCTCTAAATCATGTCCGAGTTTCTCTCAGCAGCCATGTGGCTTTACCCCTCACTTTCCCGAAAACAATCTCCCTGTAGCTTTTACATTCAAAACTGAATCTTGTTTTTTATTTAGAATCAGACCATCCTGGCAATGGCCACAGGAGACAATACATTAAATACTTCTGTGACCCTAATGGTGAGAAGAGCAGGCCAGTAAGGAAGGAAGCATCACTAGGTGGCAGGGTGGTGTTTTTAGACAAGCAGAATCTTGTGATAGCTCTGAAACTGCACTGAGTAAGGGACATGGGGGAACATTCCCCTACCCCTCCACTCAGGACCAGTAGGACCATTCAGTGTCAGTGCTAGACAGGATCAGATAACATTCCAGCCCCTGGAGAGAGGGGGAAGTCAAGAAGACCACTAGAAGCTAATTGCCTTGGTCAAGATCCCAGGTCACCTTAGCATTTGACCAAGAGCAGCCCTCCTGATACCAGTGCCCATAGCCCTGCATGGTGCCACCTCTTCCGCACCAAACTCCTGTGTGTAGCAGGTATGCATCCCAGACTGTTGGTGGTGAAACAGCACCAGAGAGTAGAGGGGTGGAGGCAGACAAGACCTTGGTTCAGCAATCTCCCTTGAGTTCTGGTTATGACAGAATTCAGAGCGAAGACTCAAAACGATAAGAGGAAGTTTATTTAGAAAGTCACAGAGGTAGAAGAAGTGACCCATAAAAGAAATAGGCACAGGAAACAGGTTGCAGAGGCAAAATGAGGTCATTTGGAGCTTAGGAAAGAGAGGCAAGGAAAACTTGCCTGGGGAAAGGGGTTAGGACAAAGCGAGAGAGATATTACAAGGGTGGGGATTTTAGGGGAGGTCCCAGGGAAGGATCTCAACAGAATGAATATTCATCAACTTTCCAGGTATATCCTTTCATAGCTGTGGTCTCCAGTAATTGGTCAGCAGGAGGGTAGTGGGTCATCAGTCGCTGCAGCCATGGCATCTCTTGTCTTGTCTGGTTTTGCTACTTTTCTGGGCCTGGAGCTGAAATATACCTGAGACCTAGATGTTGTCCCTAGAGGTTAATGCTTAAGGGAGTGGTCGTGCTAGGGCCCATTTGGGAGTTTCACGAGGTTACTCTTTGGCCCTTTGTTCCTCCTCCAAGGGGTTCTACTGCGTGACTAGTGACATGCCAAGGAGGAAAGCTCAGGCGAGAGTCTGAACCTCCTGACCACTGATATAAAAGATCTGGGAGATAAGGTAGCCCTGGGGGCAAGGTCCTTGTTTTTCCAGTTCTGCCTGTTGCTAGGCACCCAGGGCTTTCAACCCTGCTGACCTTCTGTACCTGACCCATGGAGACAGACTCTGCTCAAGTCTGTCTAAGTGCCTACCACAAGACCACAGATTCAGGTGAGCAGTGGGTTGAATAGTGTTCCCTGGAGAAGCTACTATGTTCAAGTCCTAATTCCTGGTACCGGTGACTATAAACTTATTTGGAAATAAGATCTCTTCTGATGAAATCAAGTAAAGATAAGGTTCTATTGGAATAGGGTGGGTTCTAAATTGGTGACCAATATCTTAATAAGAAGAAAACAAGGCTCAAAGACACACACACATGGAGAAGAAGACCATGTGAAGGTTGATGGAGGCGGAGATTGGAGGCAGGAAGCCGAGGATCTCAGGCAACCACCAGGAACTGGGAAGAGGCAAGGAAGGCCTTTCTCCTAGAGTTTTTGGAGGGAGCCTAGCCTGGCTGCCCCCTTCATTTTGTGCTACTAGCTTCCAGAACTAAGAGAATCAATTTCTGCTGTTTCAAGCCGCCCACTTTATGGTAACCCTAGGAAACTAACACAAGGTAACTATTAAATATTTTATTTTTCTGTAAGTCAACATGGCATTTACTTTGTTCTTTAGTCTTCAAGGGGGTTAAGGCTGACAAACCCCGGTAATTTAGGTTCCCCACCATCTCCCGGGGCTGTGTCTAAGCTACAGCATGTGCACGTCTGTCCAGCCCAGTTGTCTGGGGACATGCCTTGTTTTTGTGCCCACCCCTCTGTAGATCTGAGGTCTCCAGAAGCTTCCGGCCTCCTGCAGGGCATGCGATTCTCAGACAGGCGTTTCACACTCAGGGACACCTCGCTGAAGTGATATGGACCTTTGCACAGCAAGTGTGACTGTCACGACGGTCAGGCCAAGGAAGAAGGCGTTAGAGCCTCTTTTCATAAAACCCACCTGTGCCTCTTCTAACCATCTTTACCCACCTCTGCAGTCACGGAAAAGCATTGGACCCATTTCCCTCCACTTCATTCCTTGGCACTGTCCTTCTGGTCTTTATCTGTGCCCTGACCCTCTAACCGCCTCACTCAGACTTTTGGGCTGTAAACCCCAAATATTTGCTGGAGCTTTCAGCTTTCTGTCTTTCCACATCCCTCCCCAGAATATATGCTAATGTAGCGGGTCAAAGAAAGTGGAAAATACTGGTGAGAAAACAAAGAATATTGGTGAGTTTATCAAGATTATGATTTGGATAAACATGATAAGAAAGAAAAATGTACTCCTGAGGCCAAAGAGACATGTAATCAGATGCCAACCATGCCACTTCTTAGCTTTAACCAGGGCAAGTTTTATTTAGTCTCCCTGAGCCTTTGCACTCACTTAACCAAAATAGGAAATTAAAGACCTACCTTCCAGAGTTGGAATGAGGATTAAATTTAGTGAGACAATATATGCAATGTCATAGTGTCTCCATTTAGCAAAAACACGAAGAGGATACCAACTAGCCAAGTTAACCTCATCACAGAAAGAACTGAAAGCTGAGCCGACTTCCCAGTTCTTTCCCAAGGCACCAGCATCCATGAAGATACTGGCTGTTTGGCCCAAAGCTTCATTATGAAGGTAGCCTCCCACTACTATGCAAGGTGCCGCAATGGAACACAGCTGGCCCTTTAATTGTCTTTCTTGTGCCAAGGAACAGCCAGAGGATGAGAAAGAGCTCGGTTTTTGGTGGCTCCCTCTCATCATTTTTGAGCTTTGGAGCTCTTTGGCTTTGGGGCTTTCCTGAGCCAGATAAATACTGTACAAACAGACTAACCCTTATATTTTAATCTACTTGGTTCTTAAACCGGAACACCGCTGAACTCTCCTGGGGAATGAAGGAGCTGTAGTGTTTTTTCAGGAGTCGGTAAAATCAGGGCAGAGCCACTGTCAGCTGCCAGATGTTCCTTCTTAGACTTCGTGGTTGTCATTCAGAGGCAGGGCCACTAGATGTCACAAATGGGGAAGAGTTCTGCCCTCTCCCCATGGTTTCTGTTACGAGGAGAGATGAGGGACTATAGTCCTTCTAAAAATAAAAAAAATTAAAATTAAAATTAATTAAAAAATTTGTCTTAAAAGGCTTAATATTTTTAAAGCAGTTTTAGGGTTTATAACGAAACTGAGAGGAAGGTGCAGTTTTCCGTACGCTCCTTGCCCCTACACGTACATAGCCTTCCCCATTACCAGCATCACTCACCAGAGGGCTACATTTTTTAAAAATGATTTTATTTATTTGTTTTGAGAGAAAGGAGAAGGGAAGGAGAAAGAAAAGGAGAGACACATCAATGTGTGCTTGCCTTCCCCACACCCCCTACTGGGAATCTGGCACACAACCCAGGCATGTGCCCTGACTGGGAATCAAACCAGTGATGCTTTGGTTCTCAGGCTGGCACTCCATCCACTGAGCCACAACAGCCAGGGCCAGAGTGGTACATTTTTCACCAAGGATGAAGCTGCATTGACACATCATTGTTACCAAAAGCCCGTAATTCAACTTAGAGTTCACTTTTGTATATTCTGGCACCCTGATCTCAGACTGCCAGGCTCCAGAGATAAATTTTTGTTGTTTATAAGTTATCCAGTTTGTAATATTTTGTTATAGCAGCCTGAAAAGACCAAAAACAATTACACAGAGTGTTTTCACTGCCTTAAAAATCTCCTGTGTTCTTTCTCGTCATCTCTCCTCCCCATTCCCCACTCTTGGCAAACCTTTATCTTTTTTTACGTTTAAATATACTTTTCTCTCTTTCTTTGCCTGATAATCCCATCACAAAAGGTATGTTACACCTTTTGTAGTTGTCCAACAGTCCTTGGATATTCTGTTCTGTTTTTTGAGTCTTTGTTCTCTTTGCTTTTCACTTTTTGAGGATTCAGTTGACATACCCTCTAGCTCAGAGATTCTTCCCGCAGCCATGTCTGGTCTACCGATAAGCCCATCAAAGGCATTCTTCACTTCTGCTACAGTGCTTTTTATCAGTAGCATTTCTACTTGGTTCTTTCTCAGGATTTCCACACGTTTGCTTACACTGCCCATCTGTTCTTGAATGCTGTCTACTTTCTCCATCAGAGCCCTTAGCATATGAATCGCAATTGTTTTAAACGTCAAGTCTGATAATTCCAGCCATGTCTGGTTCTGATGCTTGCTCTGTTGTGTTTTTGCCTGTTGGTAAACCTTGCAATTTTTAATTAATAGCCAGACATGATACCCCAGGTAAAAGAAATTCCCGTAAAAAAGCTTTAATAATGTGATGGTGAGTTGTTGGGGGAGGAGAAATATTCCTAAGGTCTTTTTAAAAAAGATTTTATTTATTTATCTTTAGAGGGGAAGGCAAGGAGAGAGGGAGAGAAATATCAATGTATGGCTGCCTCTCGTGCATCCCCTGCTGGGAACTGGCCAGCAACCCAGGCATTTGTCCTGACTGGGAATGGAACCGTGATCCTCTGGTTCGCAGGCTTGCGCTCAATCCACTGAGCTACACCAGCCAGGGCTCTTAATGTCTTATGATTAGGTCTCAGTCTTTCAGTGAGTCTGTGACTCCAGACTGTGGACTTCTCAGTGTTTCTCAGTTTTCTTCTCTTCATTTGATGGAACAGGGTGGCTAGTGTGGGCTGGAGCGGGATATTCTCCTTCCTCAGGTCAGTTAGGCAGTAATACCCTAGCAGGTTAGGCTCTGGTTAACTAGTTTCCTCAGAGGACAGGCCTGGTTAAGAACAGAGCTCTCTGGCATATTTCAACGTGGTTCCTTTTTCCCTGGCCCTGCTGGAAGGTGAAAATTTTTCTTTGGTATTTACTTTGGGAGTCTGGTCAAACTCCTGGAAGTAAATCTCAAAATATTGTGGGTCCCCTGCTCTACCACCCAGCATGACTCAATCCCTTGGGGTTTTTTTTTATTTTTTATTTTTTAAAAGATTTTATTTATTTATCTTTAGGGGGGAAAGGAAGGAGAGAGGGAGAGAAATATCAATGTATGGTTGCCTTTCGTGCATCCCTGCTGGGAACTGGCCTGCAGGGAACCAGCCTGCAACCCAGGCATGTGCCCTGACTGGGAATTGAACCTCGAATGTCTGGTTTGTAGGCCCGTGCTCAATCCACTGAGCTACACCAGCCAGGACTTCAATCCCTTGGGGTTTTTAACACACTTGTTCACACTGAGCATCCAGCGATGTGTCAACTACAGGCTTTGTTAACCCAGCACGACATCCCAAGACCTCCTGTATTTGTGTCTTCCTCTGATCTCGGGAGCAGCAGTTTCATCTGTGACCTCTCTTCTCTTATGGATACAAAGTGTTGTTGATTTTTCAGTCTGTTTAGCTTTTCACTTGTTGTTGGAACAGCATAAGGGTTTCCAAGGCCCTTGCTCGTGGAATCAGAAAATGAAGCTTCTCTAATCCTTCCTTAGCTCCGGTGACCACCCCAGTGCAAACTTGCAATATAGGCAGTCTGTCCTTCTAGGAAGGGCCCAGGAAGGTTACGCATCTTTTCCACCTTTGTTTACGGTAAGTTCTCTCCAAGATAGAAGCCTTAAGAATCCTTTATGTATAATGCTGCCAATACAGGATAAGGGGAGAGATGAGATAATGTTCTCGAAGTAAAATCTATGGAATTTCTTCCCTAAAAAGGGAAGATGATCTGTGTTACTCCGATTTGGGGTTTCCACACCGATCTGTGTGACAGTGTGGCACCGTGCTAGGCTGAGGAAACTGGAAGCAAACAGAAATGGTAGTCACCGCCCTCCTGGAAAGGCTAAGGGAGACAGAAGTAACTTTCCTTTGTAGTGAAATCAGGAAATGAAGAAACGCATAAAATTAAGGACAGCTAGCAAGATTTCCTGTAACTAAAGATACTTACCATCAGTAACTGGGTTTTTAAAAACTGTTTCTGTTTTGTGTTGATATTAAATGTCTTGTATTTTGTGAACTAACATTTGTAGGTACGAGTTTTATTTTAATAATTCTTATTTGCAAAATTAAAAGGCAGCTTTATTGTGGTGTTCTAATTTTGGAAAATTTTCTGGTCTTTAAAACCCCCCCAGTCTGGGAAGCCCTGTGCTTGATAGTCCTGAATGTGACACTTAGAGCCCAAGATGCCTCCTGGCACAGATGACCGTCCTCCTCCCCTCCAGCGCTCAGCCACTGCCATCCCAGAGGCTGTCAAAGAGAAAGCCTCAGAGAGAGTGGAGGAAAACGCCCGCCAGATACACTGAAATGAAAAATGAACAGAATCATACTTGGGTAGTGAATAGCATTAAAGTTTTCTCTAGAGAAACAGTTTTCCCAAAGCACCAATTGTGCCTACAAATTATTGATATATGTTAAATTTGAGTCTCTGGTGAGCGTTTTATAAAACAAACTCCTATTTTGTATAGTGTCCCAATAGAATTTAACCTATCCAACTTTCTTCTGACAAACATACCAGTGAAATAAGAACAAAGAGGCGAACTCTCCGCCTCAAATAACTAACCTGCCAAGTGAACATGAGAGTCTCCTTCCCTGCCAGAGTCCACTTGACCGATCATCTGTATACCAACCTGCTGCAACCTG